TCATATTGTATACCTAAAATGTACCAATAAACTTAATGAATTATAAATAAATAAATATCTGTTTAAAAAAAAGAACCATTTGATACTCTCCAGGCAGAAAAATAAAACAAGAATGAGGAAGAATGAGAAAAGACAAGGGACTCATAAAACACCACCTAATGGACCAATATACATATTATGAAAGTACCAAAAGAAAACAGAAATGGAGGGGGGAAATATATTTTAAAATATAGCCAAAAATTCCCTAAATTTACATAAGAGGTAGACACTAAGATTCAAGAAGCTCAACAGACCCAAATGAAGACAAATCTGAATAAGACCACATGAAGACATAATCAAATTTCAAAAGTCAAAGACAGAATTTTGAAAGCAACAAGATAAAAGCTGCCCAGCATGTACAAAGAAGCACACATAAGACTATCAGCAGATTTTTTTGCACAAACCTTAAAAAGCAAAAGAGTAAAAAGACATGTTCAAAATGCTGAAAGAAAAAAAAGAACTGCCAACCACAATACATCCAGAGAAAATATCCTTCAAAAATGAAGGAGAAAAACTTTCCCAGATAAACAAAAATTGAGGAAGTTCATCATCACCATCACCAAAACTGCCTTACAAGAAATGTTATAGCAGTCCTAAACTTAAATAAAATGCTGCTAGATGACAACATGAAAGCATATCTAAGTATAAAATTCATTGGTAAAGGTAAAAATATAAATTCTGTAACACTGCAATGGTGATACATAAGTAACTCTTAACTGTCACATACAACTTAAAATACAAAACTATAAAAAATAACTCATAAATATGTTAATAGATACACAATATAAAAAGATGCACGTTGTGACACCAATAATATAAAGGATGGGAGGAAGTGATATAAGAGTAGACATTTTTTATGTGACTGAAGTTAAGATATTATCAGATAAAAATGTGGTATATATAAGATATTTTATTTAAGTTCCTATAGTAGGCTACAAAAAAATGCCTACAGAACATAAATGAAAGAAATGAAAAAAGAATCAAAGCTTGTCACTAAAAACAAAACAAAACTATGAAACAAGAGGAAAAGAGACAAAAGGCCCCCAATGGAGGGAAAACAGAAATGGCAATAGTTTTTTCCTGTCAGTACTTTAAATACAAATGGATTAAATTTCCTAATTAACATACTGAATGGCTGAACTAAAAAAATGAAATCCAACTATATTCTATGTACAAAAAACTCTGTTTAGATCTAAGGGCACACATAGGCCACCACAAGTGATGGAACAGAAAAACATATTCCATGCAAATAGCAATAAACAATAGTGGTAACAATACTTATATTAGATAAAATAGACTTTTAAGTCCAAAAGTATTACACAAGGTAAGGAAGAACATTATATAATGATAAAAAGGCCAATTCACTTGTAAGATTAATGTCTATCTTGTGACACTGCATGTTAAGAGTGTTTAACTTATTTTCCATTTGTTTCAGGGCTTGCAGATAAGTTTGCCTAAATCTTGGAAGAGACTTTTGACTTGGACTTTTCAGCAATGCTGAAACTGTTAACTTTGACAATTCTTGGAGATGGACTACATGCCTTATGCATAATGAGATGTGCATGAGTATTTTGGGCTTGTATCTAGCTGTTCCCCTAAAGGCTCATGAAGCCACAGCTGGAGCTATTCAGAGGTGGCTGGACCTAGAGTGTGTGATGCTGAGATTAAGGATGTGATATTGAGACTGATTCCCAGTGCGATGCTAGGATTAAGGGTGCACCACTCTGGATGTGAGTGCTACCTCCCCTAAGGGCATGTAGCCTGGATAGAATATAAGGGACAGAGAGAGGGTTGCTGTTGTTGCTTGCTGCTTCTTTGTTACTTTGCTGCTTTGGTGCTTTCTGCCTACCATGAACTGTTTCTCCTCTGTAATGCCCCTCTTCCATGCCACCTTGCCTTGGAGCCGGCCAACTATGAAATGAAACCTCTACAAATTGTGAGGTACAATAAACCTTTTCTCCTTTAATTTTGGGTGTCAGGTATTTTTTTTCTCAGCAATGACAAATATAACTAAGACAGATATTTATACACAAAAATCAACTCAAATGGATAAGACTTGAATATAACACCTGAAAATATAAAACTAGAAGAAAATATAGAAGAAAAGCTTCATGACATTGGTGTGAAGAGTGAATTTTTAGATGTAACACTAAAAGCATAAGCAACAAAAGCTTAAGTAGACAAGTGGAACTGTATTAAAGTCTATGGGTGACAAAGGAAACAAGGAATTCTGTGCAAAAGAACCTATGGAATGAATGAGTAATGGCAAGCTATGTATCTAATATTAATATATAATACTAATAAAATACACGAGGAACCCCCAACAACATTCCAATGGAAATATATAATTCAATGTTTTTAAATGGGCAAAAGACTAGAACAGCTTTTCTCCAAATAAGGCATACAAATACCAACAGATGATACGTGCATATACAGATATATAAAATTTATAAAAATGGTACATGAAAAGATGATCAAAATCACTCATCAGCAGGGAAATGAAAATCAAAAACACAAAGAGATACCAACTCACACCTGTTAGTACCTTAAAAAACAGAAAAGAACAAGTGTTGTACAGTGTTGGTAGGAATGTAAATAGAGCCATTAGAGAAGAGTGTGTAGACACCTCAAAAAAAGAACTATCAAATGATTCAATTATTTGTGGGCATTTATCCAAAAGAATTGATAGCAGGAGCTTGAAGAGACATTTACATTCCTATGTTCACTGGTGTGTATTATTCACAATAAACAAGGAGAAATAACCTAAAAATCCATCAGTAGACGAAGAAAATATGTGTGTGTGTATGTGTGTTTGTGTGTTTACAGTCTACCAAAAAAAAGTTATATACACTTCAGGAAAAGAAAAATAGCATGATGTTCTTTCAACAAATGGGGGACCCTAGAGTATGTTGTATATCACAGAAAACCCACTACTGTACATTGCCAGCCCTCAGAGAAGAAACTAAAAATGCATGTGCAAAAATCTCAATGACCAAAGTTAACCAAGAAGCAGTCTGCTTTACTAATAAATGTCTGGAAGCTAATGGCCACCACTCTGAGCACCTCTTGTAATTGTAGGGGCCAAAAGTAACTTGCATTAATCTCATGATATCTCAATAAATTTAGCATTAAAATATTCATACAAGGTTTTTTTTCCTTGAAATGGATGTACTTTTGGTGGACTCTGTATATATCATGGAATATTTCTCAGTCTCAAAAAAGAAAATATTGAAATATCCTACCATATGAATAAGCCTTGATGATATTATGCTAAATGAAATAAGCTGGTCACAGAAGGACAAATAATGCATGATTCTGTGTATATGAGGTGCTAACAGTAAACTGACAGAAGCAGAAAGTAGACTGGTGGTTACCAGAGGATTGAAGGAGAGGGAAATGGAAGCTGTTCTGCAAAAGAATAGGGTTTCAGTTTATAAAAATGAAAAAATTCTAGAGATTTGACGTGCAACAGTGCACAGTTAACAATACTGCACTGTAAATTTAAAAATGTAATAAAGTTGATTATTTGAGTATTTTACAATCTTTAAGGGGGGCGTGGTGACTGCATGACATGACTTATTCACACTGAACCCATGCCAGCCAGCTCCTAAGAATCAACATTTCCATTTGCAAGTACTCAACGGTTTCTATGGAATTATCTTTATGAAACTGCAGTAACATAAAGCTTTCCAGAATGGTTTTCAAACTGCCCTTTCTCCTTTTTAGAAAACAGAATAACATCTGTCCATCTTCAATACTCTAGTACCTTTCTTTTCATCCAAAATTTCTCAGAGTATTTACAGCAGTTTAGAAGATTCACCTGCAAATTCTTTTACTACCCTGAGATGAAACAATCTAGGAAAAAGATTTAAAATAACTGGTTAAAGTAAGTGGTTAGAAGCAGTGGTGGCAAACCTATGGCTGCATGCCACAGTGGGCTATTTATATCATTGAAAGGTCTAAAAGGTTCACCATCACTGGATTAGAGGCCTAGTTTTTTTCTTTGCTTTCTTTAATTTTTTTGGTGGTACTGAGGAATGAACCTAAATGAGCTACATCCTCAGCCTTTTTAAAATTTTTTTATTTTGAGATAGGGTTTCACTACATCACTAAGGTGTCCAAGCTGGGCTCGAACCTGTAATCTTATCTCAGCTTTCCAGAGTGCTGGTATTATAGGCATGTACCATCATGCCCAGCTCCATACTTGTTTTCTTACACGCTAATCGCCTATCTCAAGTTCCCGCTTACCAATTTATTTTTCTTTTTTTGAGGTCAGGGACTAGTCTCAAACTCCTGAGGTCCAGTTGATTCTCCTGTCTCAGCCTCTAAAGTAGAACTACAGGTGTGGGCCATCATGCCCAGCTCACCAAGAGTTTTTACACCCTTTCCAAAATAATGTGTATTCTCTCAGACAGAATGTATAAAGCAAACTAAAACAAAAAATGTTGGGCAATTTCACTTTCTCTTATCTACTCATGTACTCACATTACACCAAACAATAAGTGGAGCTTTTAACAGTACAATTAATCAATGCATGATGCTTCTGATATAAGTAGCAATGATTTATATAAATTTTAAGAATATAGCTATTAAAATTCTAATTTCACTGCTTACTTTTAAATATGCAGCTGCCTCTTGAACAGAAAGTGTTCTTTGACTAGAACTGCCACATTCATGATCTCCTAGAAAGATTAGCATATTGTTTTCAATCAGTACAATGTTAAAAACAGAAGAAAAATGTAATTAATTCAAAATGTTTTACCAATTATACAATTATAAATTATAATCAGTAAAGAAAGATAATGACCAATATTGTTTGTATTTTCTACAGAAAATTGTAGTAATTAATGTAAATAAACAACTACCCTAATAGAAACCACAATCTTTAAATATCCTTTGATCTAGGTAAGAACATATTTTCTTCTTTTGTTCCCAACTAAATTCTAAGCCTGTGTAGAAACCATAGCTTGGTACATAGGAGGCTCTTTCCAGATATGTATTATTCCTAAAGGGGAAAAAAAATCCAACAAGTTCACTGGGCTAACTTATACATCTATTCTTAATGATAATTCAAAGATCAATTAAGTTTAAATTTAATCACTGTCCTAAAACAAGTGCATTTTCATAGTATAACTAAGACTATCTTTAACAAGAGGTATGCACACCTGAAAAATTGTAACACAGACCAACAGGAAAAGTAGGTACAAGTATCTACCTATGGTTTGATTTCTACAAAGGGATGTACTCCAAAAGTCTGAAAAACTACACTTTTCTTAAAACTAATTAAGAAGAGAATTCAAAGCTTTTTCTATAGACTATACATGGTTATCAATGATAAAGTATCCTTACATTTAACTTCAATTGTAAGTTTCCTGCCCTGTTTCTTTCAAGCAGTTTAAAAAATTTTTAAACACATTAGTACAATAGTTAAAGTAAAATCCTTGGCACATTTTTCTATAATAAAAGAACCATGTTCTTATTTACCAGTTTTATTTAAGTAGCTAGATTTTTTTTTTTTTTTTTTTTTGGTTCTGGAGATCGAATTAAGTAGCTAGATTTAAATGGTAATAGTTATGAGGAAGAACAAAGTACCCATGTGGTAAATAAGCCTTCAAATTTCATAATGCATCCTCAGAGATTTGAATACCATAGATCTACAGTAGAGGTCACCAAACTACAGCCCAAGGCCAAATCTGTCCTGCTGCTTGCTTTTATAAATGAAATTTAATTGGAATGCAATCAAGTTAATTCATTTATTTAGTATTTATGCTTACTATCATGCTGTTACAGCAGAATTGAGTAGCTGTGAGAGAGGCTGTCTAGCCTGCAAAGCCTAAAATATCTAGTATGAGGCCCTTCACAGAAAAAAAGTTTTCCAAGTCCTACTGTAGAGGAAGGAATCTGTATCTTTAAATGGAACCCAGATTATGCTATCTAGTGGGTCACAGACATAGAACAAAGTTACAGTGATAGCCATAGATGCTTGTGTTAGCAATATCAAGATTTTCTAGCCAGAGAATATTCTTAACCTAGTTCTGGGTATAAAAGCATACCAAATAAAAGTCATTATCTTGCAGTATATGGCTATGAAAATCAGTACGCCAAAGCAAAGAAGGCATTTGGTGATGTATATAAAATTATAAGCCTAAAGTTGAATTAAGGACCCAAACAAAAAAAGAAGTTGGGCAACTGTAAGGATGCCAAGTACTGACTTTCCACCACAGAAATTCCACATCTATCCACTAGGCTATTACCAATGATCTGTTTTCCTAAAAAGGGTTTGCTGCATCAAAAAGTTTGAAAAGCTACACTTTTATTTTCATATAACTGAGAAGGAAATCTAAAGACTACTTTCATATTATATGTAAAATTAGAATATCTTTAAAACTTTAAAAGTTAATAGATAATGCTTATACTGTAGCTTATACCTGCTAAAATGGATACTAATTCATGTCTAACAAATTATCCTAATTGCAGATGTGCTGATACCTGAGAGCTTTCAAAGACTTACTTGGAGCAGAATATAAGGAAAATTCAATAAATCAGGAGAGAATATTCTAAGATCATATATTTAATTTATCCAAGGGAAGACATTACACCACCAAAAAAATCTATATTTAGGCTAAGATTTCAGTTAATTCACTGCTTACTCAATTCAAGTCCTTTATAAATTTTCAAAATTTTGTTACTATTAAAGCAACAAGGAAATTAGTTTGACATAAAAATATATAACACAACATACATATGACCGGAAAAAGGCCTTCTATTCCTATATATTTTTTATCTATAATATTTAAAGAAACACTATAGATAGTAAAAACATGTAAATATATTCCACAAATATAATAAAGCAATGAGAAAGACTATTTCTACCGGCAACACACCACATATATACAAATTAATTTTTAGAAACTATGAATGTTAATTACCTGCAAGCTGTGCCAATCGATCATGAAGTTTATATAATGTGCTCAACATAAGATTCTTCTCACTTTCCTAAAATTAAAAGAGATTATTATGAAATATCCAATTCTAAGAAAAAGATGTTCCAATAATTCTTACTCAAAAATAAAAATAGGAAATGAATTTAAAATCACTGAAGCTACAGAATCTAAAACAAATTCTTAAACAATGGCCACTATATTTTAAGAAACTCAGTTTACACCTCTAAATTGGTATTTTAAATATTTACTTTGTTGAGGATGATTAGAAAGTTAGCACTATAAAAATAAATAAATAAAATTAAAAAATAAAAAGTTAGCACTAAGATTAGTGGTAACAAAAAAAGGTCTCATACACAATAAACTCTCATAACAGCAAGGAAGGCTTCCAGTCCCCCTCTATATAATGCATCCTTGTCTGTATTCTTTTTTTTTGTAACAGGGATGGAACATGGGACCTTGCACTTGCAAGGCAGGCAGCGGAACCACTGAGCTAAATCCCCGGCATTGTTTTTGTGGTACCAGGGATCGAACTCAGGACCTCATGCTTGTGAGCCAGGAGGTGGCACCTGTATTCTTCTTAAAAGACTGTTTTCACACTTTTTCTTCAAGGCTGGCCTTCCTGTTTTGTTTTAATCTGACTCAACCATACAAAACTAAGAGAATGAATATTAGCACTTGGTCCTTACCCTCTCCTAGGCTTCCAGGATGGCCCTGTTTAATCTTATGAACTGCTAAGAGTTCTACCTCTGCACTGGAGCAGCTGAAGAATACTATTTAAAAAAAAAAAAAAACATGAAAAAAACACAACTATGCTATTGTATTTTTTTAAAAAATCTTATGAACCACAAAAGTGAAGCAAACATTCCATGAAATTAAAAAGTAGGAGTTAAGAACTGTTCTGCCAGCAAAGTAAGAGACTCAATGAGTAATATGATTTCTGTTCTCAAGGACAATATAAAATGAAGTGTTATAAGACAGTTGCAAAATACAATGTAAATACAAAAGAAGGAGGTAAGAGAAAACCCCTTTGTGGAACAGAAAATATTTGAGTTTCACAGGTAGACTAGAACTGACCAGCATTTTAGGCAGAAGGAACACCATGAGCAAAGGCATGAAAGCATGAAAGTATTTTTCATAATTCTTATATAACTGGTGCCTCACTTAGCAAACCACTGGAAAAGTAGTTGGCAATTTTCTGCCAGAAAGCCCTAGATAACAAGACAAAGACAAAGACTTCATTTAGAAAATTTGAGGAGGAAAGTAAACCAAATGTGTACACATCAAGAATATTCCTCTGACCAGAATGTGTAAGACAGCCTAGAAGCACAAATGATAGTGTGAAAAGAAAGCAGAGAAAGGACTATTGTAATGGTATTTATCTAAGCATCATGACAAATAGCCCAAAGCAATGATATTTCTAATTTGAAATTAATTGTAAATAAAATGGAACAGCACAGGCCATGAGGAAGTTTTAGAGAAGGTGTAACAGTTTTTACACTATCTGAAATAAATTCATGATTCATTGGGGGGGGCATCTTTATTATTTCCTTTCTTCTTGATATATCTAACAAAACAGGATTTCTGGATGCATATTATCACGGAACAAATTCAGGCAAGATATAAAAGGCTGGGAAAGTAACATTTATATCTCTAATGACATACTACCTCATTCGTTTTTATGGTATATGTTCAAGAAAAGACATTAAGTTTGCACAAAAGGTAGCATGCTTTTGTCAATGCAGCTTTGATCACTGACATTAGAAAAACAGTCATTAAAGGTTTCAGTCTCTGGTTTTATGTCATTTGGTTGACAGACACAAGATATTTACTCCTTCAGCTGACAACCTGCCTACCAGCTCTTTTACCTTTCTTCCCACCTCAAAACTAGGTGAGAAAGATTTTGAATCAAGTCAATACTTATCTCCACATTACAGATTAAAATTCCAATCTGCAAGTATCAGGCACCAAAAAAAAGTATAGGCTGATACTCAAGATTCTAAAAGATATACATCTGTGATACAATAAACTACAAAATAATTTTCAATAGAAATCTTCAACATAATAGAATGAAGAGTTCCAATGACAATGTAGCTATGGATTTGATATAAAACCAGGATGAATCTGATTTAGCTATAAAATTAAAGCAGGTGAGTTTGCAGTATGCTTCTTAACTGGAAAAGAGACTAATTTCCTTTTTGTTTTGTATCTTGATCATGTCTTATTCCCTTTTCTAAAACAAAGCAAAATTTGAACATTTGGTATATGTCCTCTGTGATTATCTTTTTAATGAAGAGACCTGGGAATAAACTATCTTTTGATTCACAGATATTAACGCTAGACTAGACAAGAAGAAGAAATAAAATATAAGCAGACAGAATTGAATCTCATACTGGATTACACATATAGTGCTACATTCTCATACAAAGAATTTAAAAAGCTCAACTATAATTTCTTCAAAAACCTTTATTTCTGTTGAAAACTTATTCATATTGACTATCTAAATACAAGGGTCTCAAGTGCCACCCAAATGACCAACTAGATTACAATCTAAAGGTTTTTACAATGTACATTATTATCTATACACATATATTTTGAGAAACAAATAAAAAGGCTTTGGTTGAATTATCTTTTGTACCAGATACACTGCTAGCAGTAAATCTGAAAAGTATACAAATCAATTTTTAAAGTTACTTTCCTATTGGCTTATAGTTTTACTACACAGTTCTCCATTCTGTCTATCAGACTGTCTCCTAATGTTTGAGCTTGAAATACATCTTAACCACTGGTTTCTCTAATTGCCCTGCAAACCAAAGACCTATAAATAATACATACGACAAGTAGGCTTTCAAGTAACCTTTCATTAAACAAAAATAATTTCATAATTTAAACTAGCTACCTGCTAAATGTCTCTTTTAGTAAGGCCCGGATTATTGTTTATACATATTATTCCAAGAGAAAACATTTTATTCCTGGAGTGAAACAACCATAGGGTGACCCTACCAAATTTTCTCCTATCTTGTCACCTTTAAATATTTCCCTCTTCTCTCCCCAAGCAATTTTCACTTCCAGGACATCTTTAACTTTTTATATCAAGGGTTTTCTTTTAATGAAATGATAATGGATTTAAACATCTAGCACGATGCCTGGCACAGATAAAGCATTTAATCTAAATGAATTGTCACTACCTTCATTGTAATTATTATGACTATTCCGGGATGCAGAACTTTAGCCTCTCCCATGAGCAAAATTACAAAGAAGACAGTCTAATATTTTCAGAGTAGAGCATACTAAATTTGAATTTAATGCTATAGCTTTTTTTTTTCCATTAAGTTTATTGGTACATTTTAGGTATAAAATACAGTTACATTCATCATTGGGATCTTGTACCATTACATGA